CATCTGATATTCCATTACTCCATCCATTACATTTACCAAGAAATCCCGAAGTGACAGCTTCCTTTTCACGACAGAAATCAAGTTGTCCGCTTGCATTTGGGGCACTTTGGGGCTCTGATTATTTGAACAGTTGGACAACTACTCGTACTTAATATTAGTAATTGTTTGCAATTAGTCACCGACGGAGGCTGAGAAACTGAGGCTGAGAAACTAAGGCTGAAAACTGAGCAACTGAACAACTTTGGCAATCGCTAATTTATGCAAGGCTCGGCTTTTTCTGTTTTGGGAACGTGGAACGTGACGATTGATATGAGTGAGACTTCAATCCGGTTCAAAGTCCGGGCCGTAGATCATCATGTAGCTGACGTCCAGGGTCTTGGCTGCCATTTGCTTGCGGATTACTCATAAAATCGAAGAATTAAGTTCCTGTAATGGACGAAAAACGCTGGCAATTAAATCAAATACGAAGACGAAGAAGCCAGAGAAAAATACTCCGCACAACCTTGTTATTGTCTATGGGCTGCCATTAAAACTCGAATGGCAACAGGCAACAAGCAGCAAGCAACAAACATCGAACAATGGCAGTGATGTCTTTACATTTAATTGCACCATTGGGCACAGGGCAAAGTGAACTGTCGTTCCACCTCTCGAATCTTCATCATCCTCACCATCTCTGCCTCCAAGTTGTTCCATTTAAAGCGATGTCAACGACGCCACAATTAATTGATGCGCCACGAATTGCTGTTCAATGGCAGGGACACCAATGGTACACCATAACATTCCATACCATATAGTCGTTTTTCAGGGCCCTTTTTGGCCCCCAAGAAGGTGAATTAATCGCACAGGTTGGCCAGCTCTTAAAATCTGATATGGCAGCTTGAAGCTGTGCTGAATATAACTATTTAAGTTATTAAATAAAGTTTTATAACGTTTATATGCTTGGTTTTGGTTTATTTTTAAATATTTAAGTCATACATTTAGAAGAGCTTTTTCTTTGCAAATTAATCCACAAATCTTTAAAGGCACGCTTTTTTAAAATCGGATTTCTGCAAGAAAAGTTATGAATTTAGAAATGCTTATTTGCCAAAGAAATCTAAAATGATTAAAGTGTATTTCAAGAACAAAGGCAATCTAATTCTTTAAACTAGGATAGTTATCAACACAATATAAATTTAATAAATCTATAACTATTTGTTTATTTATTGTAAGTAAGTACCAAACAAGTCACACAAGTATTTAAATATATGTAAAAAATAAAACATAGGGCACCAAAAAAAAAACCCACAATTTAAATACTTAAATAAATAAAGCAGCATTTACTAGAGAATACTTTGCATTGTCTCGCATTAAGGGGTTCAAAGATGGGTTCGTATGCAAATGGAAAACGCCCAAATTGGGCGTGGCACTGCCGCGACAACAACAAGAACGATACAGAGTCAGACAATAGAGTCTGAGGTCCGGTCATTAAAGCTAATTTCGTTGTCATTTGCGATTTGGCAGCTTTTCCATTTGAGTTTGCCTTTTGCAAAAGCGAACGACCCAAGCAACTGAAACTAATTTCATAATTTCTGTATTTTTTTTTTTGTTTTGTTATACCATATTTATGCAAAGCGTTGTCGCTGTATGTGTGTCAAAATCTAATTCACCTTAAACTGATTTCGAACGCATGCAACTTTTAGTAAATTTAGTCAGCTTAGTGACTGACTGATTTTGGCTCTGCCTTTCGAGTTTTAGTTTTAGTTTTGGCTTCAGCCTAAGCTATTTCTGCTGCCTTTGCCATATACTTTTGCAATCGACGAGATACAGTATCTGGTGCTGCATCAGCTCCAGTTGAGTTCGGTACCAAGCGGCGTATGCGTAATTTGTAGCCTGCCATGCATGTCTGTCTGCCTGCACTTCCACACTTCTTTTTTTCTGTTTTTTTTTTGGTTATTTTTTCAGCTACTTGGTCGTTAACCCAGGGCAAAAAAAAAAAAAAAAAAAAAAACTAAAAACTAAAGACTGAAAACCGGTTACCGGTTATCCTTCACAGCGGCGACAGTCCGCCGCCGAAGGTAACGCATTTCCATCGGCTTCGGAGGCCCAATACAAAAAGCCAAAAAACCAAAAAAAAATATTTATAAAAACCATATAAAAGAGCGATGCTCGAACCCATAATCAAATCGAAGCGAATCGAATCCAATCGAATCGAGTCGCATTGAACACTTGCTTCCGGTTCACACTGCCAGCACAGTGGTCTCTTTAAGGAAAAATGTTATAAATACCATGTAATAATTATGCTAACCAATAAAAAAATGGCACAACATATATTAATAGGTACTTCATTTAAGTTTATCAAATTTCATTGTATTACTTAAATATTTAAGTACTTTTAATAACAGAGTGCAAATCATCCAATGTGAACAATGTTTCTGAAAGTACTTAACAAAATTATAAAATTGGATACAAATTAATTATCATTATATACAAATTTGGAAAAAATATTGATATTTTTACGGTTATGTAAATCAATAACTCGTAAGCCAATAAGAATTTTATGTTGCGGACCACTGTAGCGTATGAGTTGGAATTCCATTCACTCACGCACTGAAAACTATCAAAAATGTCGTTCACTACGAGCAACTGCTGCTGTTTCAGCTACTTGAGAAGGTCAAATAAAGGCTACATCTTCATCTTCATCTTCATTCTTCCATTATTATCATTAACACTACGGCGATCATCATGATCGATCAGTCAAGAACAACTCAAAACTGTCTAACTGACTTAGTGGCTAACCACAGTTCGGCGACATTGTCTTGCGGTTGGTCAGTATTCGAATTCGGTTATTCGATTTTCAGTTTCTTTACTTCTCTATTTCTTTTCCAAGCTTTTGTGCTTGGCTGAAGGTTTCTGCTTCGGGTTATCTTCAAGTGGCTTTCGGCCAAAGTGCATGGCCAACATGACAGGGCGGAAATTCTGCGGCCAACCTTTGGGCCCAGTTTCGCGGATCTAAAAAGCTAAAAGGTTCCACAGTCCATAGAATTTGGGCGGAACACAAAGTTCAGTGAACTTGCTTGAACTCCTAAGTGCTGTAAATTTTATCAGGAATTAAAAGAGTTTTTAAACCCTGCATTAAAAAATTATGCTAAATAACAGAAAAGCTTTCTATATCAATAAATAAACTTGAAGTGTTTTATCAAATAAGCTTAAATACTTTTTATAAAATACATAAGTTAATTATTTTTATCTCTTTCGAAAGATTTTGTTCACATTTCAATTTACAATTTACATAATACAAAAATGTACATTATTAATTTTGTTAATAATTTTATTAATATTCTTACTATTACTATAATTTATTTTTATTTACTTGTATTAACTCTTTTGTAACATTTTTTTTCCTAGATTAAAAGTTACAAAGAGAATGATATTTATTTTGTATATCCTAATATATTTAAACATAATAAAAAAATGCATTATTAACATTCTTACTATTAATATTATTTATCATTACAATTCTTAATATTATAAATATTTTCCAAAAATTTAAATAAGATTATTTAAATTATATCAGAAACGTTTGTATTGTGTTTTTATTTACTCTTATTTCTCTTTTATTTCTTAATAAAAAAAACCAGCAACATTTTTTTCAGAATTCAAACATATTTTAAACTAATTTAAAAATTAAGGAATATGCTAATTCTGAAAAGTGTCAAGTCACGACTTGGCGATAATTTTCATAAATATCCATGGTTGTTTTGTTTTCATGGCAATGCATTCGGAATGCGGAATGGTAATGGTAAATAGTTAATGGTAAATGGTATATGGAAATGCAATCAAATGGAATCAAATTGAATTGTCGATTGTAGCCGGTACTCTGGCAAAATGGCAATCGATTATTTTGGTTTCGCAGAGGGAGCAGGGCCATAAAACTGCATCATCGAGATGCGCAGCTGCAGGAGGTTGTGTAAGCCACTCTACCACCAAAAACTTACCAAAAATAAAGATGGTAAAAGTGGTAAAAATAGACACCCAAAAAAAAATACTGAAAATTTAGTTTAAATAAGTGTGTCTTTAAAATAAACCACAAAGAGTACTAATTCAATACTAGATAGTAGCCCCATACTTTTAGTTTATTTTTTATAACGTAGTAACACATTTGTGTTATTAATTTAATACTCATTTTATTGAGTATATTTTTTATACCCAATAGTTTCAAATTCATATAACAGTAATTTAGTTTCCCTGATTATTTTCTTTTTTTTGGGTGTAATTTATATAAGATAAAGTTTTCAAGCCTAAATTTAATGGGCCAATTTCAGCCATTAACTTAAAAAAAAGAGCTTGAAATATTAAAATTTAAGAAAAAAATATATTAAGCAATAGACAGAATTCTGTGAGGAATTCAAGAACCAAATATTAATCAGTCAACTTAAAAAATTTGTTTTTTTTTTTTTGGGTGTAAAGATGGTAAAAATGTTGAAAATAAAACGGGCTTTGTAGGCTCTATTCCTGGCCACGGCCCACTGACAAACTGACAAACTGAGCCAGCTGATGGAGATTGACAAACTGACAAACTGGCAAACTGAAGCTGGCAGTCACGAGGCGGAAACTTTTCGCGTAATCGTGTTGTCGAAAAAAAATGGGGAAAACTACTACTACAGGAGTACCGAGTGTAATAAAAAATAAGAAAAATAAAAATAACAAGATATAAAAATAAAAATACAAATACAAATACAAAAAAGAAAGAGCACTCAAAAAGTCTGGTCAAGCTCTCGACTCGCGACTCAAGATTTACTCACTTTCTTTTCGTTTCGAGCGCAATTCGAGCGTTTCGAGCGGCTTGAGCGACTCGAGCGGCTTGAGCGGCTCAAGCGGTAGGGGCAGGGACGGCCTGGAGGCGGTACGACTGTGAGGCGGTATCTTGGCGGCGCCGCTGCTGATGCTGAGCGCGCTGCCGACGCTCGCCGCGCGCTTTGTCTCGAGCTTTAGTCGCTTGTGTGTGATAAAATCACGTTAGTAATCAATTGCAGGCCCAACAGCCCAGACCACAGAGCACAGAGCAGTCGCACCACCGATCCACAGATCCACTGATCCACCGATCCAACAATCCAACGATCCACGCAATTGTTGCAGCCGATATCTTAGCTTCTTTTTTTTGGGCTGTTTACCTTTTTGGCAGCCAAAAACGCGTATGTATTTTGACAAAAAAAAATCAACAACTAAAAAAACGTGGTGTGCTAACAAAAAAACAAAATCATTCGCGAGGATATAAAACAAAAACCTAAAAAACAAACAAAAAAAATTTAAATCAACGGAATAAAAACACTCATTTAAACTTATGTATTTTTTCTTTATTTTTTTGCTGTGCTTAACAATTTTTGATGAATTTTGGTTTGTGAACGAAAACATGGAAAGCCCCCCCATACAAAAAAAAACACCGCAAGAAATTTCGAGATTTAACAAAAATAAGCGAAAAAAAATAACAAAAACAAAAACCTGACGCGTGTGCTGAACTATTTTCGGTTTTGTCTCATTTCTCATTTGCTGCATTCATTTACCTTGTTTCGATTGCCCAATTAATGCGAGTTGGTTAACACAAAAACGTTTTTGATTGCCAATTTCCAAGTTGCGTTTCGAGAGGTTTCGTGTGCAGTGCTGAAATCGATTCGCCGAGGGGTGGAGGGAGGAGGGGGGGGGGATTTGGCAAGGGGGGTGCCAAATTAGAGCTATAATTTTGGATGCATGTTTTCAAGATTTCTGTAGAAACGAAAAAGGATATTCATATTTTAGTCAAGAAGTTTGTTTAAATTTAAAAATAGGTAATCTTAAGATTGCTTAGAACTTTTGTGTATTAACTTTATTCAAAACTTCCTTAAATATATAACTTTTCCAAGTAAAAACAAAACAATGGTTTTGGAAGAAAAGGCAAAATTATAGTTTTGTTTACCAACTCTTTTAAAACAAAACCAGTATGCAATTTCCCAAAGTAAGAATCCCTAAAAACCCTTCAAAATATCACCCATACGCAGCGTTGCTCTGAATGCAAGCCAAACAAACTACTTTACCAAAATTATAGTTCTGTTTTAGAAGTTATATTTTGACATTATCAAAGAAATCTAGAATTTCTTAGGCATTTCCTAAAGTTAGATTCCCTACATACCCTTCAAAAAGAACACCCATACGCAACGTTGACCTGAAGGCAAGCCAAAACAAGGCCAAACCTTAATGGCAAACTTTGGCACAGGAAGTGCACTACTTCAGCCTCTAATACGCCCCGTCACTTGGCTTAAATTATATTTCGAAATCGCCCAGAAATTCCACTCAAGCCGTTGTTGTTTTTGTTTTTTTCTTTTTTGGGGGGCTTTGCCTTTTAATTACGACATGTCCATGTCGGAGCATGCACTCATTGCCAGATGCGGATTTTTTTGTTTTGTTTTTTGTTTTGTATATTTTTTTTATGAGTTTTATGTTATTTGTGCAATTGCCAGCAAGTCGTAATCATAAAACGTCAAGTTCCGTATGCAAAAAAAGCAACAAAATGGTATATGTCAAGTCACGTTGTTAATCACTGATCACTTTTCGGACAATTGTTAGAAGCAAATGGATCAAACAATCAAACAAGCGAGAGAGCTGGAAAGTAAAAGCAATATCAAAATCAAAATCAAAAGCCCAAAAGATGACATAACATCTGGGTAGCTCGGTTAATGCCGGTTTTTCTCTTTCTCTTCGGCTTCTCTGTTGTGATTTTGGCGCTTACGCCCTACTTAAACGGTTAGCAGTCTTCGAGCCAAGTTAAGACCAAGAGCTGACCATCAGCCATCAGCATTGCATGTCTCTCCCTTTTTTTTCGTGGTACTTTTTGTTATTGCCAAACTGTTTGACTGATTGCTTGACAGCAAAACAAAACAGCAAAAGCAAAAGCGGCCAAAACAAAACGGCCCAAAATACACTTTCAAGTTCATTTCTTGCATGCCTCAGCTGAAGATGACTTGGCTTTTGGAGTTTCCCCCAGTTAATTTGTGATACCGAAAAGCTTTGCCACGAAATTGAAGCCGATATAATGTATTTTGCGCTTTCAAAATAATTAATGTATTAATTAAAAATTTGAGTCTACTTTGTTTCTCAATGAAAATTTAATAAAATGTTTCATAATTCTAAAAATCGTATATAGTTAAATCTGGCTGTATTACAATTTCAAATTATTACTCATGTCGGCCAAAAACCACTTATTTTTAAATTTAATAAAATTGTATAAAATAAACAAAGATTGATATCTTATATATCCAAATAGTATCACACATCACAAGAAACTGTGGCTATCTAAAAGTTGGCAAAATGCAAATATAAATCCCAACGATATATAATAGTAATAGCAGTGGTGACCGATTCCGCAATCAAACGTACGTCTAAGCTATTCAAGCTGTCACCAAGTGATCCTCAATTGCCAAAGCCCCAACCTTTGAGCCCGCAATGCCATCTCACATTCGTGTCAAAGTCTAATAAGGCAATCAGCGATTCTAATTTGCGGTTCCCCCCTACTATGTACTTAGTTTCACTCATTAAATTCTGGATGGCTAATAATTTTTTGTTGCCTAGTTGACCAGTGAAAATACCCCTAACCTTTCTTCAATTAGAGCTACGGGCTTTGGTTTGCTTTTAATACACAATTTTCTCACAATTTTCTCACATATTTGTGTGTAATTACGGATCATGCCTTGCTTTTCGCACCTGTCTGCCTCTCTTTTTCCGCCCTCGGGCCTTATTCAATTTCTTTTTAACAAAAGCCCAGCTTTGAAAGCTTTGCCCATAGAAATTGCACAAAATAAAAGGCAGCCACACAACACAACACTGAAATACATAAACATATATTCACACAGGTTGCTGCTGGCCAAATATAAAAAGTGATAAAAATAAAAAAAAGAAATGAAAAAATTACATAATTTTTGTTGTGATTTATAAATTGCTCACCGTTGCAGCATACGGCTGGCATTACTCATACGCCGAGTTGCCCAAGAAATGTTCAATATTTAAACTTGACCAAACCGCCGCCTTAGTTGGCCATTGGCCATTGGCCATCGCCTATTGACAATTATCGTTAGCATCCGCATCGTTTTCGGAAGACCTTGGCCAGAGTATAGCCAGCAAACAAATCGTCGGAAAAAATTGACAAGACCACAGAGACTCAAAATCAAACATGCTGTTTTTATCCGATTTTTTCTGTTGTTTTTTTTTTGGCTTTAATTTCGTTTTTAATTTAGTTTTTTGAAGCTTGCGCGATAAGAGAAGGTCACCATTTTGGTGACCTCTATCGATTTGTCTCCGCATTATCATTAATTAGCATGCCCTCTCGTTCCAGCGCACCCACACACACACACACTCTCCCAGTCCCGCTCACACCCACACGCTCCAGAGAGAGAGACAGCATGAGGCAGCCGAGCAGACATCAAATCGTGGCGCTCGTCCTCTGCAGCGCCGTCTGCCTGATTAGCGCCGTCCCGCTCCCACAGCCCGCCGGCAACCAGGAACTCGATGTCCTGCAAATTCCGCTAGCCAATGGCAAGGTGAGTACGAAAAGTTCTGGACTAACGGGGAAACAGATTTTTTATAACTTTAACCACTTCGTTGATTCAACTTTAGATTCAACGAAAAAGCTCCTAAAAAATTTAAAAATCTCCAAAATCCCAAAAAACAAACTTAAAAAAAAAAACAGTGTGTGAAAACCCGGAAAATAATGATCAAAATTTAGATAGCCATATATCGTTGAACTTGTCATAAAATATACAATCGAGTGCCATTTACAGCTAAAAATGTTTAACTTTCGCAAAAAATTGGCCATAAAATCAACTTTTGAAAAAACGCTTTTTAAAATTCGATTTTTGAATCAAAAGAAAATATTTTTTTCTCAATCTTTCGGAGATGGGGAGTATAGCCTGCCAGCTATGCAAAACAGTAACGTTTAGGGCCATGGCTTTTATTTTAACCAAGTTACAACAAAAAAACAATTAAAAAATGTTCTCCAAAAACCCAAAAAAAAACATTTTTAAATCGGTTTTTCTTTCAACGCCCAGGGATATAATGGTCTAAAGTTGGAATGTCATACATTGTTGAATTCGTCGTAAAATTTCCAATCGAATGCCATACGCAGCTTAAAATGTATACATTTGGCCAATTTTCGCAAAAAATCATGATGAGCCCCCTTAACAAAAAATCGAAAAATAGTAAAAAAAAATGTTTTTTCAAATCTACCGGTAATGTATCCATAGCATAAGTATAGGTTGCCAGATGCACAAAACAGTCACCCTTATGGTTGTGCGTCTTATTTTGGCGAAAATACATTAAAAACTCTTAAAAAATATGTTTTTTTGTACATATTTTCAAAAATCTTTGGCATGCATCATAAATTCAAAAAATCGTGATGTAAAAAGGCAAGTGGTTTTTTTAAAAAAGAAAAAAGCTATAAATTTGCAAATTTTTGGCTTGTTTTTCAAATTCTTCAAAGAACTATCTATATATAGAAAAATGTCATTCCCAAGAATCTGAATACAAAACCAATATTTACATAGCTGGCTGTATCAAGATAATGATTAAATAGCCAAAAGTCAAGCAAGCGAGTGTGTAAGGCAAATATTATACAAAGCTTTTATAGAATTTTTCCCAGGCAGGGGGTGGTGCCAAAACAAATCGAAAGGTTGCCTTACAACTATAATTATTTAAGACGTGAAAATGTCGGTACGCAGGGAGTAAAATTAAACGAGTAACTTGCAGCCGGAGAATGCTGTAGTAAAGCAATTTGGGCCCATAAACTGTTGCTTAATTTCCCTGGTTAAATGGTGTTCCCCAGTTAACAGTTAATGGAACTCTTTGAGCGACTCTCGTTAACATTCGGTTGGCTTAAAGTAGCGCGTGCTGCCGCCTCAGTTGCCCTTTCGACCATATATTTACTTGACAAATTTGCACTTGGATTGGCTTGGCTTGGCTTGGCTTGGCTTGGCTTGGCTTAGGAAGCGGCCAAACATGTTAAAAAACTTCCTTTTACTTTTCGGTTTAAGTTTAAGTTTGAGTTTTAGTTTCATTTTTTTGTTTTCGATTTTTGGTTTTTGGCCAATTCGGGTCTCGGGGTCTCGGGGTCTCTGGGCCCGTCGAACCTGCGTGACTGGATCAAAAAAGCTGCTGCAAAAACACTCAAAGAGCGGACCAGTTCCAAGGAAGTTGGCACACTTGGTACCTGTTTCCTCATGTCTTCACTTAAAACAAAATTGGAATAGTAAAAATACATTTAAATTGTATACTCAATATCTAAATTGAATATTAAATCATAACATTAATTACAATGCATATTAAATTGTGTGATTTAATACTAAAATATTTTCATGAAAGTGCAAAATATTTGATTTAAATGTGATTACAATTTAATTTAAATGTTCAGATATTGAAATCAACTCCGAAAAACTCCGACTCAAATGAAATATTATAAAAAATTTTAATTTTTAAAATAACTAAAACAGCATGAAAACCAAATCCAAAAAATATATGAGTACAAAATGTTTGCATTTACAATGTTTTTTTTTGCCAGTGCTGTATTTTGTTCACTTTTATTTTTATTTTGGCCTCAGCTGGGTGTTGGCCCGGCTGCTGCAAAAATAAAAAACCGGACTACCAGAGTTGAGCAAGCCCCTGCAACTCTGTTATTTTATTACTTAATTGCCGAGCCAGACATTCGTCGTATTCCCATTCCCAAACCCATTTCCATTCGATCATCGTCTCAGATCATTGTATCACTGTGGCCCGGCAAATGGCAATTAGCACCCCGGACACCCAGCCCCCTGTTAATTTGTTAGCCAAATGAAAAAGCTGCCCAGTTTTTTAGCATTGTTTTATGTCATTTTATGGCTTTCACTTTGTGCAACATATTTGCACAAATCTCCGAAATCTCAAGAAAGCCCGAAGGCTTTGCCACAACCAAAAAAATACAAATAAAAATCAACGGCGCAACAATTACCAATCAAAGTTGCTGGCATGCTATTACATATTTTATATTCGTGCGAAATCCATAAATAAAGCACACAAGTTGTTTCCTGGTAAGAAGTCATTTTTTCATTGGTTGTCAAGTTAAATAAAGAATGACATAAAGATAAATACAATAAATGAAGTAGGTTCTAAAGTACATTTTTAAAGCATTTACTTTTTTCTGATTCCCAAATAAAAATAAATAATTTGACATTAATAGGCCTCACCGTTTATACATTTTTTAAAACTTAAAACTAATAGCTATTTTTATTTAAGTACAATTTGTACTTGTGCTAAGCCCATAAAATGGGCTGTGAAATATTCAAATGTTCCGAGGTTAAACGACTTTGAAAAGCAATCTACTTAAGAGAATGCTTCACCAGCAATATATTTTAAAAATAGTTCTTAAAGATAATACTTTAAATATATGTCGAAAAGCAACCCATTTTTTACTATTGAGACTGAAATGTAAAATGGTTTAATTTAGGGGTTTTGTAACTGCAACTTACCTCAGAGTGTTGAGCAACTTTAAACTGTGATATCATGCAAACATAATATATATTTTAAATGCCTGCGCACCCACGCCATGTTTACAATAACATCTTTGAACATCTGCTGAAAGGCCGAAAAAAAGCAAATGTTACACAAAGTAAGCATTTGTTGTTGCCCAATTTGGCTCTGTGGTTGAGGGCAAAAACTGGGTCAAAATATAGCCCACAAAACGCTGATACGTTAATGAAGTCGATATATATGTATATATATATATTTAGTTTCCCCAAAACTCAAAACCCAAAACCCAAACTGATGTTCATCTCGGCGTGTTGACATGCCTTGCGCCATAAATCATTTAACGAGACGATAACAATGGCGATTGAACTAGCTTGGAGAATTGGAGAAAAAAAAAATATATATATGTACTATAAATAGGCAGAGCTGAGGACAATTTTCTTTGCAACGTCAACTGCAATGATATCTCCATTGTTGCCACTTTGCTTGAGTATTTTTGTTTGCTTGCCTCTTTCTGTCGACTTCTTTGGCGCCCAGCACGTGTCAAAGATGATATAACAGCAGTCGGGGAAAATGGAGGGGAAAACTGCGAAATAACTCCACTCTACTACGTGTATTTAATCCAAGGCACTATGATCCATCGAGCTGCAATTACGGGAAAATTGCAGTTTCGGTGTACTATATTTATTATGGCCAACCAATTTGGTGGGTTTTTTGCTTTTTTATGTTTGATAGACAAGATTAATAGACTGTTTTCTTTTAAAAATATAAGTTTATTTGTTTTTACCAACAAGTTTCTCAAACTTGTTTTCATTTTATTTATATAATTTAGTTCTTAACTTTATATTCATTATTGTTCTTCGTCTTAAATATTTAATTTAACTTTTAAAATTTTTATTTCCTGTTAATTAAATTCAAATTAAATTTAATTTAATAGCTAATATTTCTTACAATTGCCATTATTTACAAACATTATTTCCCATTTGGTTAACTATAAAAATGTAATTAAAATATTTGTTATGGCTAAACTCTGTTTTTACGCTTTTTTCGACACATTTGCCATTATTCATGATTTATTTGCCATTAATAGTAATGCCAACCATGAAATGAATAAATATTTTGTGATTCCTTGCCAAGTGGAAGTCTGCTACCTAGTGACAGACTTTCCGCTTATGTAACCGGTGGCTGCTGCCCCTTTCACCCCACTCCCCCTTTTGGCACCACCCAACTTAACACCACCCAACTTCTGCACCACTGCACTTCAACTTCCTCTCTTTGCGCTCTTGTGAACATATCACGCATACGCCGCATTGTGCGACAAGTAAAACGTCAATCGCAATCCGCTGTAGTTGTTGCTGTTGCTACTTTTGTTGCTGCATTTGTTGCTACTTTTGTTGCTGGCAATTTGTTGGTAGCTGCATTTTTGTTAAGTGGCAAACGAGACGCGCTTGCCTTGTCTGCCATGTCAGTCATTCAGTGAGATGGAAGCCAAAGCCAAAGACAATTTATACACAGGGAGTACAAGCTGCAATCTGTTTTGAAAATGGCTCTAAAGATATGCATGCTGTCTTGTTGGCTTGTGCGATTAGCCACCGCTTGAGAATAATTAAAGCCCGATAGTCTTGTGACTCATTTGATTTATTCATTTTCGAAATCCAGTTTCGCCCATTTTTCAATTTAATTTAATTGTGTCGCGTATTTTTAATTTTATTAGTCGCCAAACAAGGCCTCAACTGTCTGAAAGCCTTTACCCCCTTTGGATTAGCAATGGGCGTGGCATTAATCGGCTTGGATAAAGAAATAAAGCCACTGCGGTCATGACACGCACTGTCGCTGAGGTCGCACTTGCAATTAAATTGGCATTTCGATTGGTTTTTTAATGGAATGTTGGGGCCAAAGCGCAGTACTAATGCTCTATTAAAATTCATGTTTTTTTAATCAATTAATTTGATTAATCCTATTTTATATTATTAGTTTTTTTTTTTTGGTTAATTTCTCCTATCAAACTTCAAATAGTTAAATGTGACATTATTTATATATTATTATTTAAAAATAATTGCACTTTTAAATAAAATCTTTTTTAAACACTGACTTATCCAGCATAATAGGTGACCCATTACACTCAAAATAATATTTAAATCAATGGATAAGCTATCCAAAATTATAAAATATAAATATACCAGTTTGCATGGTTAATTTATGCGCAATCTGTGAGTTATCGTATCTAGTTTATTTTTTAACTCAGGGGCTTATATTTGTTACTGCTTTGACTATGACAGTAGTTTGTGGCATTTTTATCGAGTCGAGAGTCGCCTTAAGTTGGTTAAGGTCAAGGCAACTGATATGTCCAAGCATTTTAAAAATGTTTTCTCTCTAAATCTTTTTTTTTTGTTTAGCTTTTTAGCTTGTCAATCGATTAGCGTTTTGTTTCGATTCAATTCGCTTTGATTCTATATAAGCCGTGTCTTCCGCCTTGGCATAAGCTAAAATTGAAATTGAAAATGAAAATGAAATTGCCAGCATACTGTGCAGACTGCTTAAAATTCAGAGCATTCGCTTTAATGACGTTTGCCACGAGGCAGCAGCTTCTGGGCCTGAACTCATTTGGAATTCATTAAGATGTCCCATAAAAACGTAACTTTTGCCTTAAGTACTATAGTTGCTGGTGAGTCCGCCTCCCTGGGCAATATCCAAACAATTGTCGCACTAAACTGACACTGACAGACAGCTTAAAATATGATGAATATAGTACTTCAGTACTTCAAGAGAAGAGGGAGTTCGAGAGTTGGCAAGTTGGCTAGTTGGCTAGTTGTCCAAACTAGCAAAAGTTTATTTTATGCTCCTCATCATCATCATAATCATGGTCGTCATAATGCTGACTTCCGCCCGCGTGTAAAAGTCAACTTCCGCACTGACTTTTGAGTCAATTAAACACTGCAACAGCAGCAACATCTACTTTTCAGAGGCATATATATACATATATATTTGTTTCGAATTTCAAATCTCTTTTGCTTTTAAGTAGCATTCCCGAGAGTTGGCTGGCTGTAAAAACGTGACAATTTTATGGTAATACCCTGCCAAATTCCAAATAATATGATTAAGTGGCTTAAAGATGTGGTTTCAACATGGTTGAACACTGATCACACATACAAAAGACAATAGTAGAATATAGACAATTGCCTCATTAACTTCAGGTATTGTCCGAGTTTATACATGGCGAAATATGGTAAAGAGTTGACAAGCTAGATTGGCTACAATGGAAATGTATTATAAATATACATTTAACAAATTGTTGCAATTGTATAAGAAAGCAGGAAAACTTAATTAAAGTTAACAATAGTAAATTGTTGATATATTCAGAGAGCAAATATTCGGACTTATTTTTTTCAATTGTTTAAGTAAGTAGAAAGCAAATCCTTTGCTTAAAATGAACATGTATAATTTGTTGATATATATTTAAGAACAAATATTTCAACATATTTATTTAAAATTCTTAAGGAAGCATTTTCCATTACTTAAAATTTAAAAAATTTTGTATTACAAATTGATTGATATGGTATATTTAAAGTTTAAATTTCCGTTTTCTTTTCTTTTAATAAACAATAATACTCTAAATATTAATAGAGCAAATATTGTAAAATGTTAGGGTAAAAGTAGACAAATCTTCTATTTATTCCCGCCCTTAAATAAAGCATTTTCCCAACGACCAGACCTCGTTGTTCATTAAGAGTATTAAAACTTTGAATGGCTCGTGGACATTGTCCGATATTGAAATGGTTACCCAGCACAACCTCTTTTTCCTTGTTATTTTTGTATTATTTGTGCTTTGTTGTTGTTGTTGTCGAGGAGCGAAAGAAACTTTTCCAATTGTTAAAGTGTTGATGCTATATTATTAGATTGTGCTGCTTTTGAGCTGTTTGGAATCCCTTGCACCTGGTGGCACCTTGACAATTGTTGCACCAAGGAAGTTGCTTTGGCTTTGTGCTAGTGCTTTGCTTTTGCTTTTGCTTTAGCTGCTTAGTGACTCGTGCTGTTGATTGTCCAAAAGTTGGCTGCCATTCATCCACCACCGCCCACAAAATGCAATTTTAATGCAATTTGAAAATTTATTGTGCAATATTTTCTTAGCTTAGACAGCTTATTGCTGTTGTTGTTGTTGTTGTTGCTGTAGTTGTTGCTGTTGTGCAGTTGGCGATTGCCCATTAACGTTAACAACTTTTTATCCAAGTCATTTTCGCCTGACTCTTGGCTTTTGGCAGCACCACCCACTGAAGCAACACGAACCACTCAACTGAACTAAACTAAAATAAACCAAAATAAATATAGAAGATCGCTTTTTGTAAGCCACTGCAATATACCCAGCAAATTACAATTTACACTTGAGACTTGATTACACAAATGAGCACAAAAAAGGAAGGCGGGGGTTTTGTGGGGGGTTCAAGGGGTGCCACTGGCAGCAACTCATTGTCCAAAGTGAAAGTTTTGTCAATTTGTGGGCACTTTGGTGCCTTTTGTTTTTCCTCGCTGGCCATCTGCATCATCTTCTTCATCTTCTCCCGTGTTTCACTGCCAGCTTATGCAACAGATGTACGAAATTATATATAGTAGGTATTATAGTGTATACCTTATGCCTCGACCGCAGAAAAAGTAATTCACACTTATAGTAAAACCAGTCATTCCCAACCTGAAAGTCAACTGCGTTTCAAATGGCTAAGGTCACGAAGAGAGTCTTTGTTTTAAGTGCGCTTTTATTGCTGACTATTGGTACACTGCAAAAAAATTAATAGAAACAGCAAAAATAAATATCTGACTATTAAATTCAAAATATTATAAAGAATATTTCAATTAATGCATATTAAATGGCTTTTTTTTAATATTAATATATTTTAATTTATGTGAAAGTTATTAGATTTTAAACAGTTTTTATTCAATTAAATTGTATTTGATTTAAATATATGATTTCAATTTAAATAAATAATTAATAAATTAATTCCGACAATGGATTTTTTAAACGATTTTAATATTTTTATATATAATTTAAAATAACTAAAGTTCGCATTGGTTTAAAATCAAAAATATTTCAATTGGGCATAGAATATTTGTATTAGCTGTGAAATATTTAATTGTTAAGTAAATTGTGTTAGTCATAAAGATTTAAATAATTTTTAATAGTAAATTGATGAAAAAATAATTTACTTACAACAGAAATGTAAATACTATAAAGTGAACAGAAGCTCTAATAAGACGTTTATTTATTTTAGTTTATTTTACTTGGGCACAAAAATCATGATTTATTACTGAAATTAATATTTAAAATACACATTTTTCTAACTTAAACTCATTTTATAATTTGTTTCTTTAATTTACCCTTGCAGGAAATCGATGTCTTGACATTGGGCGCCAAAGACCAAGAAACATTGATAGCCGATCGCAACAAACGAACGATTGGACTGCTGCGCGAACTGTTCCCCGATATTACCAAGGTAAGAAAACCTATATATATATATGTATATACATATATATCTATATATAAACATTATCCATTAGCCGACCCCCTGCCCCTGTCTCATATGTTATACTTTATATATATATATATATAACAAGCCAAGCCACTCAGACACTTTTAGCCCAGGGTTATAGGGCCCCCAAATGAAAACCATATACCCCAATCCCTGTCTATATGAAAGTGTGTATTGAATTTGGCGCCACCCGAAATGTTTTCCTCACATAGGAGATCAATGTGCAGATCAATCGTCTAGTGAATAATGTGTTGCAACGCGTTGGGCCCGTGGTACTGGGCACCGTCCTAAATCCGGCCTTCGATCGGGGTCTTCATCCCAGACAGCCAGCCAAAGATGATGTGGATGATGATGAGGATAAGGGTTCCAAGGACTACGATCAACTGCCCGAGGATCTCACCCAATTCCAGGCCGATAGCGAGTTTGCCAAGGAGGGCGGAAAATGAGCAAAACAAAGAAAATGAATGATAACATAGCCTAATGCTTTTCCCCAAAACCAAATATCCACTCCTCCTCTCCTGGAATTGTGTACCTTCAAATGTTGCATGTTTTTTTCTTTAGGCTTAGGAAAAAAAAATAGCACTGAACCACCCAAAAACAAACAAACAACAATCACCTCCTGAGCATGCCAGCACCACCCAGTAGCAGAGGTTGAACCACCAAACGAAACCAAACGAAACCACCACCCACTCTAAAACAAAAACAAACACGCACACAAACACACTCAGACATGAACTATATAGACAATAGACATTGAGTTTTTCAGCCAGATATCATCCCAAACAATTGGCCAAGATCATGATCAAGAACCAGAAAAAAAGCAAGAAATCAACATCAACTCATGTGGAAAATGCACCAGAATCTCATTTACCAATTGCAAAAAATAGCCCATGTATTATTTGTTGATCTCTCGCTGATCTCTCGCTAGGAAATCGACTCGATAGTCAATCGCATTATAGCCCAGGTGATTCGGGTGGCCGGTCCCGGTCTTCTGAATAGCATATTGGCCGGAAATCGCGGTGGTGCGGGTGGTGCTGTCGGCGGCAGTTCGACGCCGGCCTCCGATTTCGATGCCGATTTCGATGCGGATTTCGATGACGATGACGATGATGTGGCGCCGTCGAGTGGTAGTTCAAGTAGTCCTGCCACGAGGAATGCTGCTGCACCACCAGCACCACCGAATAGTAGTGCCAACGAGGTGGAAGAATCTCGGCGGGTGAAGATCGATTTGCCTACATTTGCACCACCAACTGGAGGATTGGGAGAAGCAGCGGCTTCAGCTGAATCGAAAGGTGATGAACGTACAACCAATCAAGCATCTTCATTCCCAACAACAACAACCACCACCACCACCACCAATCCCAGTAATCCCGCAACAACAACCACCACAACTAGCACGCCAGTTGAGGATTTGGTCCAGTTATTGCCGCGCTCTTTGGAGCCAGCAACAACCGATGATCCAACTCCAACTCCATCTCCAGCAACGACAGCAAGAACAACAACCACGACAAGAACAACTTTGCCTGCAACAACCACTACTAGCACCACTTCTAGCACCACTGATTTAACCCCACCAATAGAATCCACCACCATAAATATCCTGTTTCCCAACAACAATAGCATCGATGAACCACAATTGCAAATCATAATTGAAGATATAAATCGTTTATTAAATTCTACCAATTATTTTATTACAACCAGAGATAATCTAACAACAACAACAACAACAAAGGCCACCACAATTGACAACAACAACATTACGAAATTATTGCCCGTCTTTGATTGAGCACTGAAAGTACAGAAAAATATATACATATATATATAGAAAAGGCAAAATGGATTTGAAAGCAACAACAACAACAACAAGAACAACAACCACCATCATCACAACAACAGCAACAAGTACAAGTACAACAACCATCAAAACAACAACCACATAAGGATGAAGAACAACAAGAGAGCATCAAAGCAACCTCATTTAGAAAAAACATTTTCAATTTTTGATTTGGAGACAACATCATTTAGAAAAAGCATTTTCGAATTTGATTTAGAGACTTTCGCTCATCATCGTCTAACAAATGGAGTTAAAAACTCGAAATCGAAAGGGGTTTTAAAGTGGTTTGCAAAATATTTTTCGAAAATTATCAATAATTGTGCTGAGTCAGAGTATAAATATTGTCAAAAATTGTATAATTTCTTTTTTGGAGAACCTTTTTTGAACTACCTTAAACCGATTTAAAACCACTAAACCCAATCACCGTAGAATTCACCCTCTGAATCGCTCCGCACATGTACTATAAAAAAACCCCAGTTGTGTAATATATTTTTGATATATACCCTGTAGGCCCCCAAGTTCCTCCATTCCCCTTGACCAAACCCCAAAAAGCACCAATCGCATTGTATGTAACTCAAAATTGAACCATTAAAGTTAACTAATCTACCTACCCTCCCCCAAAAAATACAAAAAAAATCCCCAACTGCACCACCGAATCCAAAATTCGTATGCGCACCACACACACACATCGATGGTTGTTGTAGCAAATCGACGATCAGGCGAACCGCATTATCTCGAAGCTGTTGAGAACTTTGGGACCCACGGTTCTGCGTACCGCCATCCAGGGAAACACCGCGAATGCGGCCAGGACCAGTTTCGATGCGGACTTCGATGACGACGACGATGAGAGCTCGAAGAGTGGCAGCACCAGTGGCGGCAGCAGTAGCACCAACACATCCGATTCGGATAGTGGCACCCGTGTGACCATCGAACTGCCCACCTTCGAGCCAGACGATGACAATGAGATCGATGCGGAGAAGAGCAGTAGCAGCAGCAGTACCTCCACCACCTCAACCACCGAGTCCACCTAAAGTGCGTTTTATTTGCTACAACAACTGTGAGATACTCACAAAAACAAAAATATACAGAGAAAAAAAATCAACAAAATTGGAGACCTTTTCATTATCAAATGGATTATGAACAACAGAAATCTCTAATTGGAAATTATTTTTAAAAATGTCTACAAGTATGCAACAATATTAAATTTATTAAATATGCAGTTTTAAGCCCAAAAGTGCATTTTCAATGCATACGTTTAGGCACAGTTAAAATGATTTTAAAACACTAGTTATTTCTTTCTTAATATAATTTGATATGAAAAAGTCCAATTGCCATTTTGGTTTTGATATGCTTAAGCTTTTTTCTCTGTAAAAAAAGCACTGTTGAATTGGCTTTTAAAATTGGTTTCTCTTTCCCCCTTCAAATTTCTCCGCGCAGCACAACAACAACCCAAGCAAACACCCTCTACAGCAAATTGAAATAAAATTAAAGGAGAATGATGAAATGAAAGTGAAGTTCTCATTGAATTGGCATTGTTAACCAACACTTGATTGTTTTGAAATTACCTTTAGCACACTGGTTTTCAGCACATAACCACACTCACCTGCCTTCTCTCTCTCTCTGTCTCTCTGTCTCTCTGTCTCTTGTTTTTCACTACTGTTGTCCCTGTCTCTGGATATCTCCCTCTCTCTTTCTCTCCTAGTCATCCTTTTCTCTTTTTCAATCTGCTCCCTCATGCGCACCCCCATTCCACTTAGGTTAGTAGGTGTTTTTTACAAAATAAATTTATATATTTTACATCTATAATGTATTAGTTGTGTAAGACATTTTTTAATACATTTCCAAATATAACGAAATACTTTGTATACCCTTGTGCCTTTTTGCTCAACCCAGAAACATCATTTATTATCAAGTTCGCAAAACTCTGTGCTTGGTGTCTAAAAGTAGGTGATATATATTTACATTTCTGTATATACCACATTAAATATTTCCCTGCCTGCTTTAAGACACTTTTAACAGGAGTTATGAAATTCATAGAGATTTTCGATAATTCTCAAAAATTCATACACACTTTTGGTGCCCAGACAGACTCGATAAAAAGCGTGTGAAAACTCCATTAAACTCATTTGTCGCTCCCGGAACAAAGGTGAATTATAGGTTGGATTGGGTGTTTCTTTTCTCACCACAGCACTCGACTGAACACTCACCATACTCACGAGTGCATTTACATCGCCAATTATCTCTCATCCCCAGAAAAATTCGATACTCAGTGTACTCATTTCCGCACTCATTTTCGCCGACTTCGTTTTTCCGCCCGCCGCAGAATAAAGAAGCAAAAACAAAAGAGTTAACAGGGGATTTTCATTTATTTATTTTTTGCTGGCCGAGAAAGAGTTTTATTTGCCAGCATTCTAGAAAAATAAAAAAAGATTTTAATGCTTAAAAAGTTTACCAAAGGAGCGTAATCGATAGTCGATCACCGATGTCTGAAAAAGTGGATTTCTAGACTAAGCGCTCCACTCTGTCTCTCTCTCTATCTTTTTCTATCTGTGCTGTCTCGCTCCTTTTGTTTTTCTCTTTTGCTTATTTTTGTATCTTTTTCTCTTTATTTTCATGTTCCATTAAAACCCGATTCGATTTGTGCAATGCAAATAACTCACCACCAAAACAATCAAATCAAATCAATCAACAAAAAAACGAACAACGCTCCACCGAAAACTGATAACCGATAACTGATAACTGATAACGATAACTGACAACCGCAAATGTATACACAAATACATCGAACGCATTTATGCACGTATTTGATAACTGCCCATCAAACAATCGATCGATTTCGACACCTCAATCGACATGTGCAATATATCAAACAAACCACCTAACCACTCTGTCTCCACCTAACCTCACATTCACCCTAACTTCGCAAACGATGACATAACCTCACTTGTGTTGAACTCACCACACCCGAACACACTGAAAACGAAACGAAATATACACAAAACCCACACACACACATTACACGTCGCCGAATCCTACGCTTTGCCTATCCCTCAACCCCTCGACCTTGGGCCTTTCACCCGCCACCCTTTGAACCACCCACTATCCCCTCTCACCCCCTTCCCTTTACACGCACATAATCAACTCCTAAACTCCAAAATGTCTAAACCAACAACACCCACAATAAAAAAACAATGCAACAAATGCCCTACCAAAAAAAATATGAAAAAAACCCATAACAAAACCCGAAAAATTTAAAATCGAAAAGAATGGAGCTACCGATACCCAGATCGACTTGTCAGCCATCAACAAACAATTGGAGGAGACGATCCGAGTGGCCCGTCAGGTGAAGGAGGCGGAAGCAGCCGCCGCCGCCGTGGCCGCCCAATCCCTGTCACCAACCTCCGCATCCTCCGCCTCCTCGCCGATCGCCCAGGCGCCCATTCCCCTGAAATCCAACGAACCCATCCAGCTGAGCTTCAACAACGAACTGCCCAGCGTATCGCCCTCCGCCGGCGTGGATGTGAAGGCGCTGAGCACCAACGATTTGCAGCTATCCGAGTCCAAGTCGCCGGCGATCGATGAGCTGACCCTCGACTCTGCGGAGGAGACCGCCGAACTGGATGATCGCAACAAGAGGTAAGTGAAGGATTCCACAAGCTCCCCCCCCATTTTTGATGCCCAACTGCATGGCTTTATATTTAATCATTCAAAAATGTTCAACATGATCCTTTAATAGATGAAAATACAATCCCAACACTTTACTAATTAAACACTTTCCTTACCTTTTCATCCCTACAACAAATCAACAACAATTCAACAACCAATTGAAATACTTTCCCAAATCAACATCAATGAATTCAAAACAAATAACCAATATATAAAAAATTCAACAACAAATCAACCACACCTGAATTGCACACAACAACCAACCAAACCCAATAACAACAAATGAACATCTGTTCAACAACAAAATAAAATATTTCAACAATTTAAAAAAAAACAATAATATCAATAAATCTAAACAAATGGACATAAATACAAAATGTACCAACAAATCAACAACAACTAAATCAAAATTCAACAACAACAACACTGAACAACCAATCAATTGGAATTGGAAAAAAATCTAAAACTAACCAAAAATCAAAATTCAACAACGAATCAACAACACTTGAAATGCACTCAACAACCATACAATTCGAATGGCCTGGCCTCACCAATAGTAATCTGTTCAAAAGGTTCCTCAGCTTCGGCGGTGCGGGTCTGGCCGGTGGCTCAAGCGGCGGTGGTGCAGGTGGAGCGCCTAGTGGAAATGCCCTGGGTGGAGGCTCTGGCAATTTCCTGCTGGATGTTGTAAGGGTGAGTACTACCTTAGTTTTTCTTTGCCCCTTAAACAGTTATTTTATTAACAACTTTTTTACCCCATAAAACAGCTCTTCTCGGGCAGCGTTCAGACCCAGCAGGGCGATGAGGCGGCCAACTCGGTGGGGGGTGGTGCCAGCAGTGGCAGCAGCGGAGGCAGTTTGGGCGGGGACGCTGATGCGGATGGCGATAGCACCCGCAATGCCGACGGCTACACCGAGGGCATTCCCGGCCCAGTCACGCGCCTCGTCGTGCTGGCCAACCGCGGTCTGGCCAATCTCGTCCAGGACTTGATACTGGTGAGTGCTTAAGATTTCTGAATTGAAAAACATTACAAAAACCAAATCAGCAGAGTTTTCAAGTCACCTAAATAAGATCATAGGATCTTCAGAAGGTCAGACATGCTTTTGCATACTTTTAAAGATGTAGTGAAAAAGAAGCGAATAAAGAAAGACCTAGTAGTTTATAATTATTAAAACGAAAGATCTTTAAATGAAGTCTTTTAAGACGCCTAATAGTTACTATTATAAATATTATATAATATATTTTTATTATTATTATATAACAATATTAGGACCAACTAACCCATCTAATTTTCTCTTTCTAGCGCGTTGCGGCCACCAGCGAGAAGTTCGTGAACTTCAAGGCCAAGCTGATAACGGCGCTGATCTAAGGTCAAGGGTCAGCATCAGCACCGATCGGCCACGCCCTCGCCCGAATTAGTCAAGTCACCAACCTGTACAGAGTCAAATGCAACAGATCACCCTCTCTCTATCTCGCTCCCTCACCCACCCCCGACTGTCTCTATCTCCCTCTGTCCCGCCCCCAAAACCCACACCCACACACACACGCCTACTCACTCACACGGAGACAATTTTGTTGAGCATCAATTCGATCGAAGAAATTTCCCGGCCAATGTCAACATATATTTTTTTTTAAATTTTTAGCAAAATTTTTTATAACAAAAACGTATTTAGTTCAAGTAGCTAAACAAAAAAAAAAACAAAAACAACATACAAAAATAAGCAAAATTGAAAAAAAAATCACACACACAAATCAAAGAATTTTATTTATATATCAATAAAGAAAAAAGAAAATTAACGCGAAACAACATTTATATGTATATGTACTATATAGAAGAAGATGAAGAAACGCCTGATACAATTATTCCAGCCCTAGTGCTATCTCTTTCCCCTACCAACTGTCCATCTCTTTTCTATTTTCAAACGGCTTTTGTAAATATTTTGCTATTTGTGAATTTCCCTTACCACTTTTCATGATCTTTTCCATATTTTCCCTGCCCTTTCGTTTGTGTATATTTTGTGTTCTATTAAAAAAATCATGACTGTGGTGTTTTATTTACTATTATTTTTAATTATTATAAACGAAAACGAAACGAAGAAGAAGAAGAAGAAGGATAAGAAGAATGCAAAGAGGACGAAGCAAACACGTCAAGTTTCTATTAGATGAAATATAGCCGAGCTTAATGTTTTTTATTTGCTGTTGTTGGTAAAAGATCCCTCGAAATAACCATACACACACACATTAAACACAAAACACAAACACGCACGTTCACATTCACTGAAGCATACTCAATTTATAAACCGATTCGATATGCCAATTACTATATACAATATATATTTAGATCCGTTCTTGTTCGACTTCCCTGTGTTTCCCCCTGGATTTGTTTGTAATTCCCCTAATCCTAAGCGAATTGTGTTTTTTCTCACTATGATTTTTTTCTAGCCTAGCTAAGTGAAACTTTCGAAAAATGTGTATAAAATAAAAGTAAAATGATTATAAAAACTTTGTGTTCAGAGTTTTTATTTAACAGGCACCACTTTTTTGAAAACCCGCTAGTTTGGCGGGAAATCAACTAAAAATAGGTACATGTTCCAAACCATTACATAAGGATATGTACTTTCTATGGTTAAAAAGGTATTATTTATTTAAAAGCTATTTTCTGTTCATAGACGTAATTACTTCATGTCAAATAATTACGGAATTATAGTCAAAATTAGGTTTTTGTGTTCACATTTTAGCGAGTTTTTTGAAAACGGCAGAAACGATTTCTTTTTATTTTCGAGTCCCTATAGCTTTTGAGATACAATACACTTTTCTTTTATAATACCCTCTGCGTTGGTATGAAAACAAAAACCTTAAATTATCATTATTTATAATTTTTATTAAAACGGTGCTCTTCATGGGCCATGTGCTGAATCCTAGATAGTTGGACTAATTAAATAAATTAAAGTTATTTTTTAAGATTCTACAAATATTTAAATAAACACCTTTTTTTATTTTTAAAAGTGATCATTAAACATGTTAAACTATTTATGGCAAGCAGTTATGCCGAAATAAAATGCGTTTAATTCGCTTCATAAATTGCTTACAATCGGAAATTACTCATTTGGAAGTCAAGCATACATATATTTTATGATCGAGCCACTTAGGCACTGGAAGTGATTGCAAAATATTCCGAAAATTAATAACCAGTGTGAGAAATACTTTTCGGGCAATTAAAAAGCGTTTGCAAATATTTGTACAATTTAGCAAGTAGTGAATTAGTGAATTGGCTGACTGCTCACCCTCTCTCGTTTATATATCTGGATAATCCATCTCGGCGCATATTCCACCACCACTGGTAAAAATATAGAATCGTCAAAATAAAAATCTGACTATTGAATTTAAGATTGTATGTTACATGTTTTTCAAAAATGCGTTATAAATTTAATGATACAATGTTCAAAATTTTAATAAATGTGAAAATATTAGATTTAAATTAGTTCCTTCTTCCTATAATTTCTATAAATATAGTTTAAATTTAATATAAATATTCAGATATTTAAATTAAATCTGAATATGGTCAAATAAAAAATTGAAAAATTTTTGAATATTTATTAATTTAATATTTAATAATATTTAAATAAAATACAGAATATTTGGATTTGCTTCGTTTTTTTACCAGTGACTAAAAACTGTGTGTTGCTTGAGTGAGCAATTGAGAAAGTGAGTGAATGACTCAATGACTGAGTGACTTACTGGAACGCATGCGTGGCATGTGTGCGGTCCAGAAAAACACAAGCAAAAATAAAGGAGGGTAAGGTCAGCAGGGATGAGGACTACTAAGTGCCACTTCCGTTTTCCACACATAAAAACAAAAACACACAAATTGGCCCAACAAATCGCCGATGGACAAATGGAGATGGATACATGTTACTTATCCTGCGATCGCCGGCCACTTGATGCACAATTAGTAGTGCACAAGTGCCCGGCATTCAGGCATTGTTTTGACAAGTGCACATATTTAGCGTTTTCGTTTTGTGTTCATGTTATTGCTGCCCATTCCCATCTTCACGCACAATTTGTCGTCACCAGGCGATGACTTAATTCATTTAGCAGAGCCAGAGAACTTGTAAATGCTATTTGGCAGTGGATATAGTCGGGTATTCTTCTGGAGAATCCGCTCAGTTGCTCGCCAATCGCCGCAGAAAACGGATGGCGATGGCATTGGCTTTGGCTATGGCAGTCTCATCAACACCATCACCATCATCGTCATCAGCAGCCAACTATTTGATGGCATTCCTTGCCCAGGATAGTAATAGTAGTGGAAGTGCAGCCAGTGCAAGTGCAAGTGGATGCAGTGGAGCGACCGCCGATTCGGAGGACTCCCAGATTGGTCAGGATGCTCAAGTGGATCAGGTGATAGGTCAGGGGTCAAACAGGAGGCGACCACCGCGCCAGAAAATCAACGCAAGGGAGCGCTACAGGACCTTCAAGTGAGTCTTAGTTTACAAAAAAAACGAAGAAATAAAAATTAATAAATTTGTTAAAGTCCTTCAAGGAAATAGCAAAACTAATTTAGTAAAGAAAATATTATTTTATTCTTATTTTCAAATAACAACACATTTATAACAATTTTCAAAGAGAAGACATATTAATAACATTAGAATCATCATAATCCAAATTAGACCAAATAATCCCATTTAATATAGGGACTAAAAATTCATTTAGAGCCGTTTAAAAGTTATAAGCAAAATAATTTAGATAAAAATATCCATAAAATATGCAAATGTACTATATTAACATTTTTAGGCAATCATGATTTAAAGACTATCTATCTATTCTATCTATTTCATATGAAGTTTTGGTTTTTGTATTGAAACCCTGGGAAACACTGGTCAAAATTTGGCATGTCATGCCTTACTTAATTCGTCACAATATTTCCATTATTATATTAATTTTAATAATTGATTTTCCAAACAGTGTGAACTCGGCCTACGAAGCTTTAAGGAATCTTATACCCACGGAGCCCATGAATCGCAAGCTATCAAAGATCGAGATTATCCGTCTGGCCAGCAGCTATATAACGCACCTGAGCAGCACCCTAGAAACGGGTAAGTTATAACAAAATAGTTTATAATTAAACAATTATTGAATAACATTAATTTATCGCAGGAACTGAATGCCAGCCTTGTTTACTGCACAAATACGACAACGAAGCGCTTGTAAGGAGGATTAGCATTTGCACCTTCTGCCTTAAAACCAAATAAGATTAATGATTTACGGGATGTGTTCTAATAATTTAAGTGTTTCTGGTCGTATCCATTGCATTTAAATTAATTATTGAAAAAAATTTTGAAATCAGCGACCAAGAGCAGCGCCATCCATGGACAATTGCTGGAACTCGATGCCTGTTACTCGATACTGTTAACGCTTGCAAACTTGAACTGCTCTCGTTTCTATTTATAACCTCTTCAATTATATCGATCTCTTAAGAGTTAATTTAAATTAAATAAAACAAAATTAATTAAAAACTAACGCATGTAAAAGCAACTGTTTTCTTTTATCGTCAGATAACTATAAAAATGTTTGCCGACCAGTCTACTTTTTTTAAAATTGCCACGAAAGTGTCGCCCTCTGCGCGGGTATTTTAACCAACTCAACAAGAGAGTTGCCAACTCTTTCAAAACAAATAACAAACCTCTAGCTAGAATGTAGCTAAAACTTAACAGGAAAAAATTTAATTATTATTATTGATATAATTTTAAATAAGACTTTGTATATAAAATCACATCAATTACATAATATATATATGGCCTGCGTAGTGAAAGTCACGTTAGTGTTTGTTTCATTAATGTACTTAATTGCTCAAACGATATTATCTTATTTGAAAAAAAGCTTAAAATTCAGGCTTTCAGAATAAATTGATTTAAATATTACCGCCAAGGTCTTGAAAATAGCTAAGACAAGTAGCTGTTTAAAGCAGTGCGCTAGAATTGCTTGACAAATCACAAGCAGTGCTTAGGTACTTCTCACGAAATCAAAACTGGTCACACTGATTGCGCCAAAAATAAAAACGCCGCACTGATAAAAGTAAGTAGCGCACTTTATCCGGAAATAAAGCACCTGCGATGTCCGCAAAACGTGTGCTGACACCTAGTAAAGCCGAAAATGGTTCCCTATTGCATAGCCAAAAGAAATTCAAGCAGCAGCTAGATTTCGCGCCAGATGAACTGGAGAACATCGATTGGGGCGACGATGCGGACTTCGATTTGGCGGCAGTTGGAGCTCTGGAGTCCATTTGTAGTCATAGATTGGATCTCAGTCGCTTTCAGCGCTGCGAAGTGCTGCAGTTGGAGCAGGTCTCTGGCAAACAGGAGCTGCAGTTGACCCTAAAGCGCATTTCTGGCGGGGATGCGGCCACAGGCGTCTGCCGACTGGCTGCCCCCTGGAATCACATGCGTTTGGCCATTGGCGATGTGGTTTCTGTGGCTGGCAAATGGCAGCCAAGTGCAGGCTGCTATGTGGTGGACAAGGAGCAGGGCTACTGCGTCTCGCAGCCGGATTTCTTGATATCTGGCACCACGGTCACTGGATCCCTCTTTTGCCGCCGGAAATCCGTGCTGCAGGAGCGTTTTCGTGGCCTGGATTCGGGAAATGCTGTGGTGCGTAGCTTTATCTCCCCTTAAAAATTATTGGTTACCCCCTTTCATGCCTCTTTTTAGATGCTGATAGGCACTCTGGTGCATGAGCTGCTGCAGAAGGTGCTGCGGCAGCAGCTTTTCCTCAAGCAAGACATACACGCTGCCCTCCAGGAAATGCTGATTAGCTCGTCCTTGGCCCAACTACTCTATGCCAGCAATCTCAGCCAGGCGGAAATGGAAATGCAACTCCTTAAGTTCATAGAACCCATCACTAGCTTTGTGGCTCAGTATGTCAGGGGTGAAACTCCGGCTTTCTTGGCACCAGAATCTTACAGAGGCTGCATACAAGAAATCCGCGACATAGAGGAGAACCTGTGGGTGCCCCAACTGGGCCTCAAGGGCAAGGTGGATGTCTCTGTCAGGGTGAAAAATGCACAGAAAAAGGATGAAATCGTACCCCTGGAACTGAAGACTGGCCGTGCCAGCTTCTCCATGGAGCACAAGGGGCAGCTGCTGCTCTATCAACTGATGCACTCGGCGCAGGGCAGGGAAACCCATTCGGGATTGCTCTTGTACCTCAAGGAGGGCCTTTTGAGCGAGGTGCCCAGCGGGAGAAACGAACAGAGGGATCTTGTATTGCTGCGCAACGATTTGGCCTATTGGCTGACCAAAGAAATAACCATTCCAGTTGACAAAGAGGCTGTGCTAGGGCAAATGCCACTGCCGGAACCCATTTACCATCACAGTGCCTGCGGCAACTGCGCCTACAACACCATATGCTCCAGTTTTGCCCAACACGATGAGAGTTTGCAGCTCAGTGAGTCACATCCGCTCAAGAAACTCATGCCGCAGCTTTTGGGACACCTCAAGCAGCCGGATCATGCCTATGTGCAGCACTGGTGTGGCTTACTCGCCCTCGAAGAGCAGCACAATCGTCAGTCCTCGCACTCGAGAGCCTTTTGGACCGAGGATCCCAAGCAAAGGCAAAAACAGGGCACAGCCATTGCTCATCTGCGGCTGGTGAAGGCCCAAAAGGTCATTAACGATGAGGGACGCTATCGCCAGAGCTTGGAACTCGATGCAGCAGCAGATGCCGGCCAGGATCTCAGCCTCAGTGGGGTATTTTCATGCCTTATATACTCTATTAATGCTAAATGCTTATGCTTAAATCATTTCTTTGCAGTTCGACTTGGGTGAATATGTGGTGATCAGTTCCAGTTCCCGGCTGGCCATTGCCTCTGGTTTCATAGTGTCCTTGCAAGCTCGCAGCCTGGTGCTGCGCCTGGAGCGCGATCTTAGCCAGCATTATGCGGAGGAAACCTTCGTGATGGACAAACATGAGTCGCAAAGCTTTGCCACCTTCAACTACACCAATCTGGGACTGCTTCTCAGCGATGGAGAACGCTACCAGGAGCTGCGTGACATCATAGTGGAGAAGAGGCCACCGGAGCAGCACAGGGTGGTGCCCAAGTTGGTCCTGACCAAGGGAGCAGCCATGCTGCTGCAGCTAAACAAGGTGCAAAAGATGGCTGCGCTGCGTGCCTTGACCACCAGCAGTCACCTGCTGATCAAGGGTCTTCCGGGCACGGGCAAGACCCAAACTTTGGTGTCCCTCATCCGATTGCTGCATCTATTTGGCAAAAGTGTGCTCATTACGGCCCAAACTCATTCAGCGGTGGATAATTTGCTGATGCGCCTGCTGCCCTTTGATTTGCCCATGCTGAGATTGGGCTCCACTTCGCGAATACTGCCGCAACTGGAGGGGATTAGCGAGGAGCGGCTGACCCGCGACTGCAAGACAGTGGAGGAGCTGGAGCAGGCTTTGGCTGGGCCAGCCATTGTGGGCGTGACCTGTCTCGGGGCTGGACACCCCATGTTCCAGCGGCGGCAGTTCGATTATTGCATTGTCGACGAGGCCACGCAGGTGCTGCAGCCCACTGTGCTGCGTCCACTGATGCACTGCAGCAAGTTTGTTCTGGTCGGCGATCCCGAGCAGCTGCCACCCATTATTCGGTCGAAGGAGGCGCGTCAACGGGGCGCCGATGAGACCCTGTTCCAGAGATTGGACTCGGAGCAGGCCACTGCCGTCTTGAGTCTGCAATATCGCATGAACAAGACCATCACGCGGCTGGCCAATGAGTTGACCTACGGCGGGGAGCTGAAGTGTGCCTCCGAGGAGGTGTCCTCTGCCAGATTTCAGCTGGACTTGGCCAGCCACACACCCAGGTGGATACAGCGGGCCCTGCAAACTCACATAGAGCAGGCTGTCACTCTGATAAACACAGGGGATTGTTTGGAACGGGGACAGGAGATGGTGGCCACCTGCTCCTCCCTAGAGCAAAGCTATGCCGAACACAAGGAGGAGAATCGAAAGCAGAGCAAGCGAAGGGTATCCAAGTATACAAACTACTGTGAAGCGGGCATTGTAATGCTTTTACTCAGGGAACTACTAAAATCCGGCTTCGAAGCCTCGAGGATTGGTGTGATAGCGCCGTATCGCGCCCAAGTGGAGCTGCTCAGGAAGCTGGCCAGCAAACTGGATGCCAACTTGGAGTGCAACACTGTGGATCAGTTCCAGGGCAGGGATAAGAACCTTATCATTTATAGCTGTGCGAAAACGGGAGGCGGCAGCTCCTCCGCCGGCGACATGGATAGATCCAGGGAGGCGGAGATTCTGGAGGATCAGCGTCGCCTCACGGTGGCCATCACGCGGGCCAAGAACAAGCTCATCCTGCTGGGCGATGTCCAGTGCCTGGAGCAATACGCTCCCTTCCGGCGACTCTTCCAGAACATCCCCCAGCGATGTCGCCTGCAGTTGGAGGATGGCCGCATGGAGTTCGCCTGGCAGCGAATCGAGGAGCATCTGGCCACGCTCATGGAGGCCTAGGTAATTACCTACTATTACTTATCCTAAATTGGTTTTTTTTCATTTATTTAGTTTAACAACCTTAGAGCAATGATCGTCCTTAAAAATGTTTAATTTCTGGCACTTTCTTGGGATTTAATTATGAAAAAGGCATGTTTTTGCATAAAATGTTAGATTGTTTTTTAATTATACCAATGGCTCGTTAAATTAAAATGCTAATCAAGATTAAATCTACAAAAAGTAATTTACTTGTCTTAATTATTTATTTACCCTAGAATAATAAATCGGCCCTATGTTTTATTTTTGAGACTTTCTTAAGATTAAATTATGAAAAAGGAATGTTTTTGCGTCAAATATAAGATTGTTTTTTTTAAGTATACCAATAACATGTTAAATTATTTATGCTTATCAAGATTAAATCTACAAAAATCACTTTACTTGTCTTAATTATTTATTTACCTTAGAATAATGATTCGGACATACATATAAATTTACCTATTTAAAACATATTTTAATAAGACATTTTTTTGATCTTACAATGAAAACTTGGAAATGGTTTTCATTGTGCCCTAATAACATCCTTTAGTATATTGTTATTAAATGGCATTATCAGGGATTTGTTTTTTTAGGATTTTTTGTGTAATCTTGTAGTCCGCGAAACTATTTTTCTTCACCGGATTATATATATTTGTGTGGCTCTCACCCATTCTTTTATCCATTCTGCATTCAGTTAGCGGTCTGTGTGTGTTCTGACTTCCTTGTTGGTTGCACTTGCAACTACCTTCTTATCTCAATAACAAACCCAATCCCAATCCCAATACTCCCCCCTTCCAAACGGAAGTTGTGCACTTCAAGGTCTGAGCTGCTTCTCTGCGTGCCCTGAATGTGTATATATACACTGATAAAAAAAAGGGAAAAGTAAAAATAAATAAATTGTAATATTAAATACATTTTTAAATTGCATGAATAAGTGCCAAAACATTTGAATTAATGTTTAAACCGTTTTTCTCCTATTTGTTTTAAATATGGTTAACATTTAAATTAACATTTTTGGTAATAACATCATTTCCGAAATTTGTCAATTAATTAATATTTAATATATATAATATATATTTAAAACAACTGAAAATCAGCAACCTGATGAAAATCAAAGCAAAGAATATTTAAATTGATTAAAAAACACTTTGGTTGACTATTTTTTTTTGACAGTGTATAAATACATTCAATGCATGCCATATGGAGACCCCAAAGAAGGGGTCTACTTGCAGCGGATGCATTTAACAGCCAGGAGCGAACGTGAGTCATCCTCGAGATGATTATCGTATCATTATCGTCAACGTCAACGTCATCGTCATCGCCATCCAAGCGGTTGTGTGTTATGTTCGCCTGGGCAAATGGCAATTACCAAATGTTAGATTGATTGCCCTCAAACGCCAGAAAGGCAAAAGCTTAAATAAAAACGAAACCAAATGAAATGAAATTCAATGAAATGAGAAAACAGCTCTTAAAATAGGAAAGAAATGAAAGGCAAACCTAAATTCAAATACTCTTTGAATTACTAAAACATTTTGGGACGTTTCGTTTATTACTCAGGCTTAATGTCAAAACTGAGATAAATTATTCCTTAGTATAAATCGGCACAATTTTTTTTTTAGATAACTTTAGCTTGGATATATAATGAGAACACATTAGCTTTTTATAACAATTTTTTTGCATCAACAACTAGATATACAACATTTATCAATTTTTTAATTTTTCTTTATACTATATATATAATATAAAAATGTACTTCTATAATTATTTTACAATGTCTATATTAAATTAAAACAAATACTAGTTAAATAAACCAAATATTTTTAAGTCCAGAGTCACACTTTTTTTTTTAGTAAACCTAAAAATAGCAAAATGGTGTTTCGATAATAATAAACCGAGATTTTCGAATATACCCCATTGAAGGGCATTCAAACAGCAAATAAATATCGGTGAGCAGAAAGTGGGCAAAGTCACACATAAGATTTGAGTTGGGAGTGGAGTGTTGCAGGAGAAAGAGCAAAGCCAAAGCGCAAAGCAATAACAGTAACAGTAACAGCCAAATAAATAGCAACAACAACAGTAATGGGCATTGGGCATAAGCAAATCGCTTGATAAAATATTTGAAATTCATTTCGTTGGCATTTCGATGACAGCATTTAATGCCTATTATGTAAACTCTTTTTTTCTGACGTCGGAATTGGAAGTGGGGAATTGGAAGTGGGTCCGAAAACAAAGGTCAGCCCCGAAATTATTGGGCACTGTCGCCCGCTGAATTGATTTTTGAAGTTCCGGCCAAACCCAAAATGTGGTTTTTTTGAAATACCCACAGAAACACAGACACACAGGCATGTGTGCGCAACAAATTAAGCCCATTAACCATCACCGATGAACAACGACAGCATCAGCATCATCACCTGTTGCAATAATATATCGAACACTTCAATCCCAATACCAATCCCAAGATGATCCACAAAAATGCGGCTCAAAACCTATGGTACTTTGGGCTGGCGGGCAAATAAGCAGAGGGGTATTTAACTTTTGCACAGATTTCTACGGAAATTATTATTATTATAATGGTATAATCATAAAGGCGGCATATATTACATTTTATTTAATCAAAGTATTTTTCTTTACCATAATTACATGAATTATTAAAGATTTACCATAATTACATAAAATATTAAAACAAATATTAAGAAGAATTAAGTTTTAATTATTTAAGATAAGGAATAAAATTAAAATAATTTAAGACATTTCTCATATAGCTAAAACAGAACTGCCCTAGTTTGTTATAATAAATACACATTTTTAAGCCAAAAACCCTATGCCTCATTTATTTCAAACATTTCACATTTAATTTTGAAAAATTATTTCTATCGCCTTCCTATTAATTTAAATTGCAAACATATTTCATTATTAATCTTTAAGCCACTTCTTAATTCCCTGACAATCAAATTACTTAAATATATTCATTGAATTAAAAGTATTTTTAGGGGAATCACCTTAAGCTAAGCATTTTTAAAAGTACAGCTTATGCTTTAAAAATCAAGCTTGTTTGAATGTTATTATTATTTCTAGTTGTCTTAGTTTTCAACCAAACGCAGAATTTCTTACCCAATCCGCATTTAGCTCGATTATGGCCAACAATTACTGACCGATTTCACTGCCATTTAACGCTAAAACCGCAAAAGTGTGTCCATAATTGATAATTTTCTGGTCTGAAGGCATAATTAAAGCAGCAGCCATTAGTTTCTATTGCTTTTTGTTTGTTTTGTTCGTTGTAATTTAAGGGCCCCAAGAACTGCGATTGCTGTGAGTTTTTATACCCCTTACTCGTAGAGTGAAAGGGTATGTTGCATTGGTTGAAAAGAGTGTCGAAGTCCCAAAAACTATAGATTTGTGATTTAGCATGTAGATTCTAGTCAACTATTATGTAACGTCACTCTGAGATATAGTATGTATAGTCTAAATGTGTTAATTCGGTGAATACATATCGACTCATACAAAAATGATCCAAATCGAACCAATATGTAGGAAGTTATTGACATAAATTAATTTTTTGTATATCTGAAATAGTACCCCTGCAGTTCGGCAGGTGGCGCCACCTAAACCCGAATATTTTCGGGGGCACACTTATTTTGAATTTTTTTAGCTGAGCAATGGGTATCAAGTAGTCGTGGTACTTGACCATAGCCTTTCTTCTTGTTTTTCCCTCTGCTGTTCAGTTGTTAAGTTGGCCAAAAGTGCCATGTTAACTGGTTTAACAGACGGCTTTTGCGGCTGCGCAGCAACTGGTTGGTGTTGCTAGTTGCTGCCGTTGCTGTTGCTGTTGCTGCTGTTGCTGTTGCTGCTGGCCTCTGTTATGTCGCATGTTGCTGGTTTTCTGGTTGCTGGCTGATGGCTGCTGGTTGCTGCTTTTTCTGTTGGCCACGCTTTTTGGCCACCAAACCAAACGAATTCAGTGCAGCGGCGACTCTCGAACGGTATTGTTGGCTTTAGCTTAAGCGGTAACCCGCCATTGGCCGTGCATACAAAATATATAAAATATATAGTACTAGCTACCACTACTCAGTTTTATTGTACACTTTTCGTTCGTGGCTTGGAACTTTTCTTGGATATTTTCCTTTATTTTTTGTTTGTTTGTTTTTGCCTGCATATTTGTTTTTTTTTTATTTTTTGTATATTTTTCTTGTTTGGTTTTTTGAGCCGTGCCCGTCGAGTGAATGTGGAAAATTTGCAGATAGTTTTTTTTACTGCAAATTGATATGTGTGTTCGGATTTAGTTATTCAGTTATTGGGCCAAAAAGAGCGCCGCCGACGCCGCCGCGCCTGGTCGAAAGTGAAAAACTGAATGCGCAGACGTGTGTAACAGTTTTTACTTTCGGCCTGGTTTTTTTTGTTTTTTGTTTTTTCGGCATCTCCAGTGGTTGTTGTCGTTGTTGTTGCTGGGAGGCAGTGGAGCATTTAGCCAAGATCTGTGCAGATTGCATAAAATACAGACAGGCAGCAACAGCAACAGCAACAACTACTGCAGCAACCGCATTTAGCCCAGTTTTCTGAGCAAATAGTTTCCAAAAAGCTAACGACAACAACAAAAAATCTCACACTAAATCTTAGCGTTATTTTTTTTCCTCCTCGTCGCGGTTGTCGTCGCGTTAAACTGAAATAATAATAACAACAACAAACGAGAGCAGCAGCAACAACAGCAGAAACAACAACAGCAGCATCAACAACAACATCAGCAGCAGCAACAACAGCAACATCTAGCCCAAAGGAGCCTTGTATTGCCACCTCGAGCAGCAAAAAGCCGCCAAAATGCTTCCGGTAAGTGATTGCCGCAACTGCAAAAAGCTGCGAAAACTGCGAAAACTCGACATTAACTGCAAAACTGAGAAATCATTTTTATTTCACTCACTTTTGTTGCCTTGCCAGTGCATTTTGTACGCAATTAGCGCAAATCTGAACCAAAAAAAGTCGTAAATATTTAGTCCAGTTCGTTTTTAGCCTGTATTTGTATCTGGATTTCCTGGCCACCAAAAATGGTGTGTGTTTGTAGGGGTGTTGGTTGGACAACCTTGGCAGGATCGTTGTAACCGAAAGTTGTTATCCTTGCCTAGGGCGAAATGTTCAGGAAAGATTGTCGACTAAACGAACTACAAAACAGGTTATTCATCTTCGTTCTCGTCGCACTAAATTATTCAGTATTATATTATTCGAGGCCGCGAATTTGATTTCGATTTCGTTTGAGCCCGGTTTGACTTGATATTAAAATGTCTCTCTTGGGTGATTGCATAATTAATGTGTGACACATCGCAAAGAATTCTTCTGGGCTTAGAGATTAGCTTCCAACTTCGATCGAAAGTGGAAGTTAGAGAAGATTTGCTAATTAATTTATTGGCTGTCTGCTATTTTATAACATGGCCTTTTGATTCAACAGTCATAAGACAAGACTTTAATTAAGGTGTGTTACGATTTAAAATCAATAAAATCAAGTTAAAAATACCAATCTTACAGCATTTATAACAACCCATTAAAATATGACTTCCTTATATATTAACATATGAATGCCAAAATTAAAGATTTAATTGCATCTTTTTGATGTTCTGTGAAGTTTATGGTTAATGTTTTTTGAATAAATGTAAATGATACTTAAAAAACTATGTCTTATTACATTAAACATTTCTTTCTAAAATTTGTTTATATAATTTTTTGCCAAATAAAATTTAATTGCCAAAAATTATATTTCTTAGCTAGTAGCTAGTTTTGTTGTATTGATTTAATTAAAATTTAAAATCTAAAAATTTATTTAACTCTCTAAGAAATCGAATGTTTGATAAGTTATCATTCAGGTGAGGAATGAAAAATACAAAATGTGAGAGGGCTGAGGGATGATGCACGCCTACATAAATTGGTCTAAAATCATTTTTACGATCTCGCGACTTATGTAATGGCGAAACTTTTACCCGATTAACACCTCTGAAGACGTCGAAGACGTCGGCGATTGCAATTCCCATGCTAATCGAAGCGATCGAGTGCAAAACTTTCAAACACGAAACCCAAATCGTCGAGAAAAATACATTGCACGCATATTAAAATATGATGGTGGATGGAGAATGGTGTATGGCTCTTATAAAGATCCATACCAAGCACTGACATTAGCTTTTACTTCGAAATATAATCGAAATGAGGCTGTACATCCGCTTGGACCTTCGATGAGGCATGGATTTGTGGCCCGAACCTATGATATTTCTCTTGGTCATGCAAATTTTCTGCTGCGCATGCGCCGAAAACTCGTTTAGGATTTTGTTTTTATGGTTCGCTTTTATTTTGTTATTTTTGTCAATTTTGCGGCTTGAACTTATTTTTGGCCACGTTTATTTATTTTCATTTTTTTTTTTGTTTGCTTTTGTGGGGGCGAAACAAGTTTGGCGACAAGTGCTGGCAGATGAATACTATCCTCTGAATACTAACCAAAAAAAAAAGTGTATAAAACCCATCATTTCGTTTGACGTCAGGCCGCAAAAATGCGTGTGAAGAGGAAATTGGCTTCGGTTTCGGCTTTTGTTTTTGTTGTTGTGGTTGTCTACACAACAGGCGGAAATCGAAGGCCCAACCCGAGAAAATTGCATTTTAAAATTCGCAAATTCATGCAACACAAGAGCAAAAGTTGCAAGTTTGTGAGTTGCAACGCCAACGCAGCCGCACCCAAAAGACAATGACAGTGAACTGAAACCAAGACGAGCCGATCTGGGATCCCACCCAACACAATCCAAGCCTCCATTCAGACGATCTTCCATCCTCCATCTCCCATTTGCTATATAGTATGCATTCATTAAGTCAGCCGCCCATCCAAGCATCTGATTTTCAATTCAATACCCTTTCCAATGGCTGGCTTGATTTTTACACAGATGTCCAACACAAAACTCTGCATTATCATCAATGCCAGATTTAAATCGATTGTATCAATCACATCCCTTTGAAAATATTATACATATACATCCACAAATAAGTTAAATTTGTCAAAATATTTTCGTTGCAAATGAAATTTTAATCGAAAACTACGTTTCTTTTGCTCTAATATTGTCACATTAAATTTTAATATTACTTAATTTTATTTTTAATTTATTTTGTTTTTTGAATATATTTTTGTAATAATTCACAAAGTTTTAGAAACGGTAAATTGTTTCAATAATAAAAGCCACGTAATTTATTTAAAGTTTTTAAATTCAAATGTATGCAGCTACATTTAAAAATAACTTATATATCAAAAAGTCTAGTAAACAAAGTGTGATTTACATGCATTAAAAGCATAGCCAATCTTTATAAAACAAACTTAAATAGCAATGTAATCAAACAATGAGCACTTCTGAATTAACACAAATGCAAAAGCCAATGATGCGATGTAATGTCATCTGCTGACGGCTATAAAGTCGTATGAATATTGGAACTCCCTTTTGCAAAAGTAAGCCCCTGAAGATGCTGATCTCGAATAAATACGTACAATCTGACCCCGGTGGTGGCACATCCGCCTCGCAGACGTGGAAAGGTTTTTTGTCAGATTGGCAAATCGGAATTCGCCAGGCGGCTGAAAGTGAAACCCGATGAGCGCAGAGGTAAAAAGTGAATGTATATTTATATACTGTATACTGCATACCTGCGGGGGGTGATGCGTTTTGGCATTTTATTCAAAAAGCATTATAGAAGAGTGTCATTAAGTTACCGGTTTTTTTGGGCTATTAAGTCGCCGCATTGGCCTGAAATTCCAGCATTCCCAGTGCAATCGCTTTGGTAATTGTATCTGACAGATGCACACATACACGTGCATTGGGATCTGCCTTCCAGCCTCATTGCAAAATTTGCCATTTTTTTTTGTAGCCCCCCCTCGTTACGTATACCGGCACCAGAGGGTTAAAAGGGGAGAGGGGGGAAGACCGGGGGTTAAGCTCCAGAGACCGCCGGGATGATTCAATTGCATGACAACGACAACAACGCTAACCAGCCATGTCTGCGAATTGTTGGGCAGTCGGGGGTTAAGGGGGGGTCTACTTTGGCTTTGATTTGGGGAACATGCAAATCATTAACACGTCGACAGGCCCAGGGGGTGGGCCCGGCACCCACTTTGATACCTGAGTCCAGGCTGCAACTTTTGCTATTTGGAAATCGCTCTTTAAGCTGGGCTTAAATTATGAAAAAATCATATTAAGCCATAGTAGACAATTTGAAGGAATTTAAAAGGGATTATCATTCATTATCATTCAAATTAGTATTTATTCTGGAGTTTTGAAATGTACATTTTATAAGCTATACAAAATATATACATACATTTATATTTTAAAAACTCTATTCACTCAGACCTTTTAACATTACTTTTCTATCGAAATAACTTGGCAATAAAAACTATTAATGTTTTAAAAACTTATTTAATCTTTAATTTATTTTTTTTTAAACAATTTAAATAATTTAAAATAGTATAATTGATTTTAATTTAAATGAAAACCTTTTCTCTAGCAAGCTTTGAAACTGTATAAAAAATACCTTGACATATACAAAACATATTTGTTTAACTTCTTAGCTATTTTGTTGTTTAGCTTATGAATTATTCGGGACTTCCAAATAGCACTTGGAACAAAGAAAAATAAATAAGCACAGTGCTTCTTTGGCGAATAAAAGCCCAGCTCTTGGCCAATTAAAAAATATATGTATAGTTTATATTCAATGGAAACACTTTCCAACCAAAAATCAAATTCCCACCCTTGGAGCACAGCCTCTGGGGCCTTTTAAATTCACTTGAGACGTAACTGTTAATTCGACTGACAGATAAAAAGCATATATATATATATAGCGAAAATACAAAATCATACGAATATATATGCGAGATGGTGTTTTAACGGACAGACACTCATGTATCGGTTATGCGGCCTGAAGGTCAACGTGTTTCGCGGCGGAGAAAAAGCCAAGCAAGAGTTATAAATTAATTTATTAAGCCAGAGCGCCGCCAAGCTGGCCAAGTTCCACTCTCCGCATTTAAACTCGTTTGCTATAGCAAATACCAAATAGCAAATAACATATAACAAAGCACTTGCTCAAATTCCTAAGTCTTGACCAACGGACTAACTGACCCCCAATTGGTATTTAAAAGAATGTGACTGCATTTGCCACACAAAAATATAAAAAAAAACCCACAAAAGGCCGTAACGAAACGGCTAAAAAAAGTAAATCAAAATGGGGAATGGGGGAATGAACAATGGACACTTTAATTGCCACAAGGATGGCGTCTAAACAAATGGAGAGTTTGACAGAATAATGTATTTAATTTTGTTGTTTATCAGGGATTTTAAGGCATTCAAAAAATATATATGACCAAGATTAATTCTTCATAATGCCCATCAAATCTAAACCAATTTAAAAGTTATTTCCTTAATAACATTTATTTAAAAATGAATTTGGTTCTTTAGCTTCCTTTAACTCATTGAAAATTCTTTTCCAACTCCAATTAATATTTTGTTGTTATCTTAAGACACTTAAAAAATATATAAAACCTAGATAAATTCATAATAATACCTTTCTAAATTCTTTCACAACTGCAATGTTTCTGCAGTTATTTCTCCTCTTTTCTCCATTTTTTTCGCCTTCTCACTTCCTCTAATTTCTATTTAATTTTCGTTGGCTAATCCAAACAATAACTACAATATCAAAAAATAATGAATATTGGTTATGATAAAAAAAAAAACAAAATTCAAAGTCATGTTTCGATCCAATTAAGTTGAGTCCGGCTAATCGGATGTAACAAAGGCATTATCTTTATGGCCGTCTTAACCCCAGAC